AGGGGTCATTTTCCTACGATATAAATCTTACCTGGGATCATTTCTCCACGTAGAAGTCCTACCCGGGCAGTTGTAGAAAATATACCTCAATATGTTTGAGTCTATGAGCCCCCTCATCTCGGTTCAGAACTGGCCGACTGCGGCGTATCCAGAAGGCTTCTTTTATCTGCCGCTTGCTTTCGATTACTTATTGCCAACTCGTACATATTTTGTAACTTTGTAAGCTTACACCTTATAAAATGCATAAACAGGGAATGCTTGAGTGTTACTACTGAGGAAGGTAGCTGAACTTGAATTCGGATTTAACAGACATTTGTTCAACAAAGTTTGCAAACTGGTGCCATTTCTGACTGAGCACAATGAACCCCTCCTCGTGTAGATCTAGAGCAATCACCACAACATGGACAATGGAATCGTGTTGGATGAGGGACCTGTTACGGTTTCAGTAGACATAAAGCATGGAGAGATTATGACAATATGGAGCAGATCAGTTGGAACTGTACAAAACAGTGGATGGAGTCTATATCTTGTCCTTCACAGCTGAATTGGGAATTTACTTTTTTGCCCTCTACTTGGGGGACAAAACAGTGAATTAAATCTGACGCACACATTGCAATATTTAGGATCTGAAGATTTCTCTCTACTTCTAGCTACCTTTTATTTCCTAGCGCATCTCTTGGCAAACCAAAATCCTTAAAATGGTAGTTGTTGTTCCCTGCTTAACGTTCAGCATTAAGGGGATTGGCAACAACTGGTTCACCCGTTGTCAGTAAAATGCGACCGGACGGAATGCTGTGCAGGGTGCCTTCGACATGATGTTTCAGTGAGATAGCACTATAAAATCGGCATGCAGTATACACAATACACATGGAGGCACATCCTTAAATGACCTTAGCTGTTTATAGGTCGTTAATTCCTGTGTACAACCAACTAACCAACCAACCAACCATCACAATACATGTTCAGTTGAGACAGAGAAAACAAACAAATCGCATTTCTTAATATATTTACGCTTTATTTCTTTATATACAAAATTTGTGATTGAATGCATATGTTTAACTGAAATTTGAAGTAATTTGCTAAATCAAAAATAGCTTAATGCCTATAGAGATTTATCCATAAAAGTAGATCAACTACCTAGAGAATATGTGATGAATTTGTAAAGATGAACACCATAACACAGAGGGCTACAAAACAATACACATTAAATAGACTAGTCACATTCCGATACATAGTTACCCATGAATATCGAATATAGTTCTCACAAAAAAAGGTCGTCTAAAATTGGATCTGAAACCTGGATCATGTTGAAGTAAAAAAGGTCGTCTAAAATTGGATCTGAAACCTGGATCATGTTGAAGTAATAAGTAATTTAGTTTTCTTGCTTAAAATTGATATCATATTTCACGAAAATATCTTTTTTTCCATCAAAAATAAGACTTTTTCTTGTTAAAACTTTACGCCACATTTCACACAAGGATTTTTTTTCATTTGAATGTAGAGAATCACAGATATTTAGGTTACATGTCGTTAGCAATGGGTTGTTGGGAGACTTTAAGGAACCTTACCTCCTTAAATATTGTGACTATGACTGATGTTTTATTGAAGCAGTTGAAATGTAGATATGGTACACATGTACGATGGCAAGAAATTGAAAGTACAAAAATATATCGAACAAAGTTGAAGATTATAAAAACATCGTGGTAATGATGATGGAATGATGATGTCATTTACAATGATGGATGTGTGTTAAACAGCTTAAGTGAGAAAATGTTTTGTAAAACGTACTTATGGCCCGCAGTCCCAATCTGATGGAATTAGAGCTGCATGCACACTCAATGAACAAAGAAATGAAGCTAAACGCAAAGTCAAATCAAGGTCAGTGAAGCAAACATTACATAGGTCACAGTGACCTACATTATATATACATGTATTGGGGTAGTACTCCTTCAGATGTATCCACATAAGTTATGAAGTTTGATTACTTCTAGTATCAGGAGAGAGGGGTCACTCTGATGTCATATACATGGATAAGTTTGATAAATACCTGAAATAAATTAAAAGATTTCCGCACAATCTGAAATGAAGCCTTTAGATTTGTATAATGTAACAATATGACAACATCTCCTAATGAGGTTTCACCTAGTACATGTTATAGCTGTAAATGGACACTTTATAGCTGTGGTCACCAATAAGACAGAAGTTCACATTAAAATAGAATACTATGTAAACTTAGTGACCTAAACGTAAAGCTATTATTTAGTGGCTGGTATAAATCATACATACAAAAAATAATGTGGAGATTAAGAATTGATGAACTGGTAAAATGTGAAGGTTTTGATAAAATGATATATTTACAAGACCTAGTTGACCGAGTTACAAAGTCTACTAATTAGCTTCATGAGAACGTAATACAAAAATTAAATATATTTGTATTCTCATAAATAAATGTTAACTAAATGACTATTATATTAACCGAAATGAAAAAAGATGGAACGGATACTACAGAATATCTATATAGAATAAAAGAGTATTGGCATAAAGCTGAGGCCTTGTCTCCCCTCTCTTACCTCTCCTCTAGTGATCTGGGTACGTATTATAAGGGTTTGTTTTTGTTTTTGTCCACAAAATTGAATTGAAATACAATAAACATTGATTTTAAAAATTGATCATTTATACTATACAGATGAACAAATTACTCCAACAACATTTATTATAGCATTATTAAAATATCTAAAGAATTATTGTTTGATAATAAATAACCAATGATATCGAAAAAAAAATGCTTAAGAAAAGTAAAAATAATGTATATGTCAAAAAACCTTATTTGAGCAATCTTCTTAATTTGATGTCTAGGCAGGGAGAGGGGAAAATGTTTTTATTAAGGCCTTGCAAATGAACACTTGTCAACAATTACTTGTTCAGTCTACTACAGATAATATACTGTGAATAACACAATAGGTGATGGTTTATCTTTATAAATAACCTACAGATATATGCTACACATCACGGCTGTAATCCGTGTGATAAGTTACCTCCCTAATTAATATTCACAACTCCTGGAGTGTTGTCGGTGCCTTAATGTGTATAGTACAACTATGTCTAATGGTGATGGAGAAAAAAAAATCAAGGTCATGGTGTGGAAAGGAAATGTAGCACAGGTATAAATGATGTAGTAGTACAAACTTCCAGCTAGTTGTACAACTGTTACATTAAACCCTGTTACATCACTAGGTAGGACGACAATACCTCTACCTTAAATCATCAAAATCAATGAACATTTCATACAAATAATACATGTATTATTATTTTACTCTCATACAAAAACCCGAAAACAGGTGTATATTTATACACTAAACTCCATACACTAAATTTTTGTTTTAATTTGTACATAAACAATGAATTTAATTGCACCAGATGAAATCTTATTAAAATCTGAATACATAACAAAAACTCTCCCTTATCTGGACCATTAAAATTACATGAAAACATGACTGAAAATATAACCAGATCCCTTGAGGGTGTGTTTGTTTGTATTCAATATATTCAACGACATCTGAATTATACCTTTTCCTTCAGAGGACTTTGTCAACTGTTTACTGCTCACATGAACTTGTGAATGTAACCCTCATTACCTAAAAATCTAGCCTCATTTGATGGTGTCTAGTACAAGCGGGATACAATATCATGAAGATGAATTCTACATGCATCAACTTCATAGCCTCAACAACGTTCAGCTCGTATAAACTCACAGTGACCCTGCCTACCTATGTAGCTGTAGTCATATTGCAAACATCCAGATGTTATTTACAAAATAAACCTGGTATTAAATTATGCATTTAATACAAATGGATAAAAAATCAACTCGTCTCTAATATGAAAACTAGGATATTTCCCAGAAGCTGAAAATAGATCCATCCTTATGAAATAAATATAATATTTGAGGATCGTATAAATCCAATAACATGTTTAAAGCTTATTTAGATCATTGGACTGTATTGGCAATATAGAGATTTTAAAAGAATAGTGTATGCAATTATTTTTTATACTACATTTACCAAAACAGCAATTCTATGGCACATTAAACAACATACAAGGCATTTTTTGCCAAAATTATTCATCAGAGTTGTACCGTAACATAACATCTCAAAAACATCAACCCACATTATCATTTACCCACAGTAAATACATTTAAGTCATCTTATTCTAATCTGGAACCTGCTAACCTTATATTGTAAATCTAGGATAAAATACATACTGCTTTAAAGTTAAAATGGCAATATATCAACTAGAGCTCCAAGAAATTGCTCTAAAGGAAACCTATTCCTGATCACTTCAAGGATACAGAAATGGTGTATATGATTGACGAGCTGAGCTGGTTAACCATTGATTATCGATACACAATAACCCAACATTACTTAGCAGGTGTGTACAGTGATGCTGCCCAAGTAAAATTATCATGATTTTTTGTTTCATTCAACATTCATCTACAATAAACATTTCGACGAATACATTTGTATATATACACAAAAGCTAGAGCACTCTTTTCTAATTTCAAGACATTTCATGAATTTCAATCAAATCTAATCCTGGGCATCTGCTTATCAATATTTGTCCACATTGTTTTAGAAAAAGACATCATGACCCATATCCTGATAGATTGTGTGAAATAATTATCTTTTATCACATAAAATACTGTGTTATCCAGTGAATATACCCATGTCCCATTTTTTTGCGCATTAACCCATGCAATATGACCTGCAATATCAGCCCTGTGATTGGTTGTAAGTTTCAATTGTGACGTCACGCCAAGGACAAGTACATGACGTTACAGACTTATGCACTGGAGTCAAAATGGCAGCTTTTTACGTTTCAAGGTTGCATGAAAATTGCGTTTACATGATTAAATGCCACGAATCTTGATTATGTGATAAAAAGGATCTTATACTGGTTTTCATTTCATATGAAATTTATGAAATTCGTCATGAAGTTTTCATTTTAGCTCGCCAGAGGCTGTTAAATTGAAAAATTCTTAGACTAGTTTCATAAATCTCATATGAAAAGGAAACTCACGTAAGATCCTATATATCTGTGGTTAAAACAAGACAACTTCAGTGTATTGTGTGGTGATGTATGTTACGAAAATTATCGAAACTGATAATAGGGGTTATTATGAAACAGGAATATTATCTTGTAATTACCTGAAGGATTTAAGAAGGGTCCATATTTTTTTAATGAGGAGAATTTGCTGGCATTTTTGGGAAATTTATAGGTGAGACTACCAACAGGAATTATGTATCTAAACATGAAAAAGACATACTTGTTATTTATGATTAATTAACAGAATGAGAAATAATGTTGAAATAAGAAAAAACACAGGTCCCCTTCACCAGACCCTGAAGCCTCTGGCTAAATCTCTCGGGTCTTGGCTGTTTCGCGATGGCTTTAGTAGCATAGAGAAAAAGTCACTGGCCTACTGACTTATTTTACGCAAACTATTCTTGCTAGTAAAAAAGTCACTGGCTAAATCAATGCCCGATATAATTGAGCTGGGCATAAAATCTATATAAAGCCTTGAATTCAAGCAGTATATACATTTTAACCATTCTCCCGCTACCAGACAGAGTACATACAGCTTGAGCTAATCCTTCATGCCCAAACATTTACTAATATATGCATATATTTTAACTTATTTCCTATTTTTGAAAAAAAAAATCATATGATAATGCTCACATAATGACACTAAATGGGTGATCATGGAAACAGTCTTCAGACAACACTTTCATTCTGCTGATTGTCTGTGATCTCCTTCAATACTTCCCATGATGACTTCTTGGGCAGGAGGTTAGTTGTGTCATTATGGATGAGGGGCAAGCCGGAATCACTCCCAGACTGGGAAGGGGATCCAGAATGGTGACTATTGGAGTGTGGCCCTGATGATGGTGGCCCTGACATGGCATCCATATTAATTGCATCCATGTATGATGGTGGCACACGCTGCATTGTGTCTGTGTGTGGCACGGCTGCCACTGTGGCTGCAGGGTAAGCTATATTTGAGTAGGCCTGGTTAACAACCCCTGCCTGCTGTGGGTGAGCGGGAACAACTGGAATTCCAGGGTGCCCTACATTTGATGGATAGTTGTAGGTGAACACTGAACTAGCTATAGAACCAGTCTCCGTCATGGCTGCCTGTTTCTGCTGGTGGTCACTATCCGTTAACGAACATAGCACATCCCAGTTGGACTTGCGAGGTTTGCCGGGGATGTGAGCAGACTGGGGTGGAACATGTTGTCCTGGCTGTGGAATGGGCTGTCCATGCTGCAGGATTGGTTGTCCTGGCTGTGGAATGGGTTGTCCTTGCTGCAGGATTGGTTGTCCTGGCTGTGGTGGCATCATGTAGCCAGTCTGTGGATTGACATTGTACGGTACAGCGCCACCAGGATAACCAGCTGTATAGGGCTGTATAGGCATACCTGGTGCTGCTCCAGGGTACCCATCGGGCACCATCTGAGGAACTCCCGGGTGCATGTTTTGGAGGTAGGGCTGACCCGACAACTGTTGAGCTGGTAACCATTGCTCACCTTGTGGCAGGTTGGGCTTATCTGCGTGTGACAAATCCTCACGTGATTTAGCTCGCTTTTTCTTTTTCTTCTTCTTCTTACCGTCATCAGATTCATCTACTGCAGCGACTGTGCTTACAGAATTTGTCGACTTCCTTGGTTTGGGTTTGGGTTTGGGTTTAGGTTTGGATTTCTCTCGACTCTCCTCTGTTTCTGCCTTTTCTGTCTTCCTGAGGTCTTTGGTAGTCTGTGTAGCCACAGCAGACATTGACTTTGATCTTTTCTTTCTCTTAACCACACGTTTTGGCTGCATGATGTCAGACTGTTCCTGTCCAGTCTGTGTAGCTGTCTCACGCAGCGTCTGGGTTGATCTTTCCTTAGTCTCTCTCCCAAGTTCACCCATAGAGCGAAACACTCTCTCCTTTTCATAGCGACTGATTGGTCTCTCATAACCACCATCTGTCTCATCATCGTCATAGTCCTGGGAGTAGGAACGAGAATGGCGTCCAATTTCCATGTCATCACGGATATAAGTTGATGCGACAGACTCTGAGTAAGAGCCTTTCCTGCCCCGGCGCCGGTACAGGGAGGAGCGAGAAGCGTAGAGAGACTGGCGGGATGACGACCGGGTGAGCGCTGTAGAAACAAAATACGTTAACATTATTAATGTTATTGAAATATAAAGATTCCTCAAGTACAGACCCAGCTGTTCAAAGTCTTGTTAGCTTAACAATAACAAGCATTATAAACATATTTTTAAAAGGTGTCTTCTGATAAAGATCTGAAAAATTTACAAAGAATTATTTTTTTAGGACAATCTTTTCCTTATCCTATGCATGTCAATTTAGGTTTTAATTGAGATTTGTGAACTTTTCTTTAAATCTAATCAGGCTCCAAAATATGGGTAAAAATGATTAACATTGACTAAAAGTCAGTTCAGATTTGTTGTAAAATGTATACTGTGTGTCAATGATAGAAGAAAGTAATTCAACTACAAAGTTAATGATATTTTGCAAACTATATGTGACTAAACTGAAAATGGATCGTTAGTTCAAGTTAATCGACCAATCAACAACAATGGTTACCATGGGCCAGATGACATGAAAATGGAAGTACAAAATATTGGATCAGTTTGTAGTGTAATCTGTGCTGTCTGTCATTGTAATCAGTTTATTATAACTCTAATAGGTAGGCATTTGAACATTCATGACAATCAGATAAAATATAAGGTTGGCAAAGCAATGACAGCCAGAATTCTCTTAATAGTGATAAATATAGGTGGCCTGACAGTCGTCCAACTCATAAAAGAGGTAATGAAGAAGGACAGAACATAGGCTTGTAAAACGGTGAAGAAAACTATGCTGATGACAATCAGATAAGAAATAAAATCTGCAGAATGATGACTATAATCACTTCAGACAACTACAGGTACACTGCTGCTGATGTTAAGGGTGTTGTACGTACACTGCAGAAGTTTTGGGTGGTTAAGCCACAAAGTCAAATGTTTTCTAATGCTGTATCTATGTAAGATGTTATGAAGCTGTACATATGCTGGTAGGTGTTACTTACGAGGTAGTGATTCCAAATCATACATGCTGGTTGGTGTTCCTGGTCTCGATTCCTCACCATCACTCCGCCCGTCACTCCTTTTCCTCCGGTGACCAAACCCATCATTACGATTACCAAGGCGCGGAGATTTCTGGGCTCGCTTGCTAGCCCTTGCTGTGTTTTTCTGAAAGTTTCCTGATGTGGGTTCATAATCCTCCAGTTTCATGTCCTTTTTGTTTCCTTTTTTCTTGCCCTTGTCAGGTTTGAGGGAATGTTTGGTGTTTGCTTTCTGATCGTCCTTATTTGAGGATATCTCATTTGATGAGGGGCCACTGTCATCTCTGACGGCACTGGCACTTGCCATTTGATTAAATTCCTCCTCAGAGGAGGAGGTTGTTCTATACGCCCTGCGGATACTGGCATGGTTTCTCCGCTTACTGCCCGGAGATTTGGACACGGGTACAACAGGAAGAGGAGGTCGGTTGTCTAGGGAGGCACCTGATGACCCCACAGACGAGGACGTAGAAGAGATCCTCTTGGCCCTGTCTTCTGCATCTCTGTTGTTAGAAGCACTTGATGCTGTGAACTTTGCATTAGATGATAAAGCAGACAAAAAGGGTGATTTTGGAGGTCTTTTCATATCTTCTGTCTTATCATAAGTGTCATCATCATCATGATAGTCCATACTTGTTTTAGCTCTTCCTTGTCCATCCCTCCTCTCCTCAGATTTAGTACTAGAATGGAAATTAAGAGTCTTGGGCCGGGAGCTTGGGCTGCTGGAACCCTCGGTTTCTGACAGTAGTTTTGTCTTGGCTCTTGGAGATGATTCATGTGTGTAGCCATTTTGTACTGCATTATTTGTAAACCCAGCACTAGTAGGTTGTTTCCCCTGGTTACCCAGAGGCTGCTTCACCTGGTTGGCCTTATATAGAATTTGGGCCTTCTTAGCACGGCGGTGGCAGCATACACCCAAGATGGCGATAATGAGAAGCAAACAGAAGACGCCTGCTACTATTCCCACGATCAGTCCCACTTCAGACGGGTTAGAATTGGCATCTGGTATAACAGGCAAAGCTGAAAAATACCATGGATAAAAATAATGTCAGGAAATATTAACAGTAATTTCTCAGTAGCTTATCAAATGTAAATCAATTAAAAAATAAATATAATCTATTTTCAATGTTACACAAAAGAAATACGATGTATGTAAAAGTATGGACTGATCAGAAGAGGAATTCCATCTAAAGTATAGAGTCTCCTTAAGTGGATATTTCTACAGTATAGAGTCTCCTCAAGTGGAGATTTTACAGAAGATAGACTCCTCAAGTGGATAATTCTACAGCATAGCGACTCCTCAAGTGGATAATTCTACAGCATAGCGACTCCTCAAGTGGATAATTCTACAGTGTAGCGACTCCGTAAGTGGATAATTCTACAGCATAGCGACTCCTCAAGTGGATAATTCTAAAGCATAGCGACTCCTCAAGTGGATAATTCTACCGTGTAGAGACTCCGTAAGTGGATAATTCAACAGTGTAGAGCCTCCTTAAGTGGCTATTTCTACAGCATAGACTCCTTAAACGGATGTTTCTACAGCATAGACTCCTTAAATGGATATTTCTAAAGTAAAGAGACTCCTTAAGTGGATAATTTCAATACTATAGAGACTCCTTAAATGGATATTTCTAAAGTATAGAGACTCCTCAAGTGGATAATTCTACAGTGTAGAGACTCCGTAAGTGGATAATTCAACAGTGTAGAGACTCCTTAAGTGGATATTTCTACAGCATAGACTCCTTAAACGGATATTTCTACAGCATAGACTCCTTAAACGGATGTTTCTACAGCATAGACTCCTTAAATGGATATTTCTAAAGTAAAGAGACTCCTTAAGTGGATAATTTCTATACTATAGAGACTCCTTAAATGGATATTTCTATACTATACAGACTCCTTAAGTGGATATTTCTACAACAAAGAGACTCCTTAAATGGATATTTCTACAGTATAGAGACTCCTTAAATGGATATTTCTACAGTAAAGAGACTCCTTAAACGGATGTTTCTACAGTATAGAGACTCCTTAAATGGATATTTCTACAGTATAGAGACTCCTTAAGTGGACATTTCTACACTATAGAGACTCCTTAAATGGATATTTCTACAGTATAGAGACTCCTTAAACGGATGTTTCTACAGTATAGAGACTCCTTAAGTGGATATTTCTAAAGTAAAGAGACTCCTTAAACGGATGTTTCTACAACATAGAGACTCCTTAAATGGATATTTCTAAAGGAAAGAGACTCCTTAAATGGATATTTCTAAAGTATAGAGACTCCTTAAATGGATATTTCAACAGTATAGAGACTCCTTAAGTGGATATTTCTACACCATAGCGACTCCTAATTAAGTGAATATTTCAACAATGTGGATACTTTCACCTGTTTTACAGATCAGGTGGACAGATCAGATCATACCATTGATGATATATTTTGTTATGCATTATGGTATGAACGGTGGAAAAGCAAACAAGGAGAATCATAACATAAAAATAATTAAATACTTTTATTAGATTTATAAATTAAATAAATTGTAACAAATGTGATAATTTAGGATAAATACCGTTTCTAAAATTTCTTCATACTTTTTCAATCATTCAAAATTCTGAATTTTTGGCTCTTTTGGATGCGAGTTTACAAAAAAAAGTAGAAACTTACTTTCCTCTTCACATATATTTCTGTTAATTTTTTTATTTTTAAAATTCACATGTGATCAAAATAGCCTACGTATTTCACAGGGAAAAACACTACATAATAATATAAGTACAATGTATTGTACAGTTATTTAATCTCACAGGTCTAAAACTTCACTGCCACCCGAATCAGGTTAAAAACATTAAACGAAAGGACAACAGATAAACCTAAGGACAGCAGATAAACAAAAGGACAGCAGATAAACAAAAGGACAACAGATAAACCAAAGGACAACAGATAAACCAACGGACAGCAGATAAACAAGAGGACAGTAGATAAACAAGAGGACAGTAGATAAACAAAAGAACAACAGATAAACAAGAGGACAGTAGATAAACCAAAGGACAACAGATAAACAAAAGGACAACAGATAAACCAAAGGACAACAGATTAACCAAAGGACAACAGATAAACCAACGGACAGCAGATAAACCAACAGACAGCAGATAAACAAAAAGAAAACAGCAGATAAACCAAAGGACAACAGATAAACCAAAGGACAGCAGATAAACCAATGGACAGCTGATAAACAAAAGGACAGCAGATAAACCAAAGGACAACAGATAAACCAAAGGACAACAGATAAACAAAAGGACAGCAGATAAACCAACAGACAGCAGATAAACAAAAGGACAGCAGATAAACCAACAGACAGCAGATAAGCAAGAGGACAGTAGATAAACAAAAGGCCAACAGATAAACCAAAGGACAGCAGATAAACCAACGGACAGCAGATAAACCAACGGATAGCAGGTAAACAAAAGGCCAACAGATAAACCAAAGGACAACAGATAAACCAAAGGACAGCAGATAAACCAACGGACAGCAGATAAACAAAAGGACAACAGATAAACCAAAGGACAACAGATAAACAAGAGGACAGCAGATAAACCAACGGACAGCAGATAAACAAAAGGACAGCAGATTAACCAACGGACAGCAGATAAACCAAAGGACAACAGATAAACCAAAGGACAGCAGATAAACAAAAGGACATCAGATAAACCAACGGACAGCAGATAAACCAACGGACAGCAGATAAACAAAAGGACAGTAGATAAACAAAAAGACAACAGATAAACCAAAGGACAGCAGATAAACAAAAGGACAACAGATAAACCAAAGGACAGCAGATAAACAAAAGGACAGCAGATAAACCAAAGGACAGCAGATAAACAAGAGGACAGCAGATAAACAAAAGTGGAAAGAATTGATATGGGCTTGTCACCAGTAAAATACACAGTATACCTGGTATAAAGAGGAAATAAATATACCACTGTGTCAAAGTGTAAAAAAACTCAAGAAAATGTGAAATTTGCAAGTGTTTGAACTGAATGAAACAAAGGGAGGGAACATAAATAAACATAGCCACACCAACAAGGTCAGATGTCACCTACTTTCTGTTGGTCCTGTCGTGACATATGGCAGGTAGAGTAAATGTGTAACAAGAATAACAAAACAGCTTTAAATACGGTGGAACATGATGTAGAACATAAAACAGACATCAAGTTCCACTATAAACATTACAACATAAGTAACTTTCCTGAGCAATGACTACACAATGATACAGACCCTTTAATGTTGGCTGTGTTTCAAGAATGACTATACCATTTTAAGGATTAACTTTATTCTAACTTTTAATCTTTGTCTAAACTTCCTTCCTAACTTATTGATTGATCAATATACGATGATAAATTATTCATGGTTGAAAAACACTATGTGTACAGTTTATCAATACATATTAATTGTCTTTTATTTGTTTAAATTATTTCATTGCAAAACCCCCACTGACGTGCCAAAATTTTTGATTGATAGTAAGGGATTCAAAAATGCACATTGCGAACATTTTCCTGAGAATTTGGTAAAATATGTAAATCATAAGTGAAAGGATATGCAAGACCAAGACATCAACAAAGATCTCACAGCAAAATCTCATAACCCTACAACAAAGATCATACAGCAAAATCTCATATATCTACAACAAAGATCTCACAGCAAAATCTCATATCTCTACAACAAAGATCTCATAACCCTACAACAAAGATCTCATAGCAAAATATCATATCTCTACAACAAAGATCTCACAGCAAAATCTCTACAACAAAGATCTCACAGCAAAATCTCATATCTCTATAACAAAGATCTCACAGCAAAATATCATAACCCTACAACAAAGATCTCACAGCAAAATCTCATAACAAAATTCTCCCGGGAAAATCCAATATCCCAACAACAAAAATTTCCCGGCAAAATCTCATATCCTTACATCAAAAGTCTCAAAGACTTGTGAAGTTTTCTTTGACACTTATGGAGTTATGCTCTGGGAAAGGTATATCCCCAACGAACAGAGTGTGTTAAATTTCGTGCACATAGGAAATTAAACCTAGAACCATAACTTTTTACTGGTAGAATGCCATAGTAAAAACTTTAAACTATTTCAGGTTATGTTTGTTACTAGCGAACACAAAAACTCTCTCAATCATCAAAATTCTTACAATCTAAAGACGGACAAGGTAGGTGAGGTTAAAACAATATATTATGTTACTAATTGGAAACATAAAAGAGATACAACAACAGCTATTGCTCAGTAGACAGAGATCTAAACTAAAAACAAACTTTTGGAATGTAAGGTTAAGATCAACTGAACACTTACGTTTACTGCTGGTGAGGAGGAACTGAAATTTGTAAGTGGAGAAATTAACTCCTCGAAGAAAGTTCACGGTCAGCTCACGAATGTTGGTGTATATTTGTCCGGGGTTCTTCGTACCACATCGAAATGTCTTCTGCAAATAAAACAAAGAAAAAAATACTTACTTCCTGCTGCCAGATTCTCACATGTAAAAGCTCAGTGAGCCCACCACACAGTCCTAAGGGTAGTCGCTCCGAGCTCCCCATCCCCACCCAGTCCTAAGGGTAGTCGCTCCGAGCTCCCCATCGCCACCCAGTCCTAAGGGTAGTCCCTCCGAGCTCCCCATCGCCTCCCAGTATTAAGGGTAGTCACTCTGAGCTCCCCATCCCCACCCAGTCCTAAGGGTATCCCTCCGAGCTCCTCATCGCCACCCAGTCCTAAGGGGATTCCCTCCAAGCTCCCCATCGTCACCCAGTCCTAAGGAGAGTTCCTCTGAGCTTCCCATCGCCACCCAGTCCTAAGGGGAGTCCCTCCGAGCTCCCCATCGCCACCCAGTATTAAGGGTAGTCGCTCCGAGCTCCCCATCCCTACCCAGTCCTAAGGGTATCCCTCTGAGCTCCCCATCA